TTTGTGCAGATCGGCTTTTTTAAAGAAAGAAAAATCAACTCACCTTATAGACGCACGAAGTAATTTTCTCCGTTTTATTTTCCTCCTCTCGCCGCTTCTCACTCCAGTCCAGCGGGTGGCGCTAAACTTATACGTTTGTTTGCTAAACCTCAGAAGAAGAAGAGTAGTTTCACCGCGCTCTGTTGTTTTGTCGTGATCATAGTTTAATACAAACTGTTAGAAATGTTGTTTCTGTAAATAGAAAAATACAGTTTTTGAATCATATCAGTAAATATCTGTAATATTCTCATCCTCACAGTCGTGACTAAGTTTTGAAGCAAGCAGGAAAATCTGGAGGAGTATCATCTGAACTGAGATCTGCTGCTGTGAAGATGATGTTTGTTAAAGAGGAGAGTGAGGAGAACACCAGTGAACCAGAACCCTGGAGAATAAAACACGAGGAACCAGAACCCTGGAGAATAAAACACGAGAAACCAGAAACCTGGAGAGTAAAACACGAGGAACCAGAACCCTGGAGAATAAAACACGAGGAACCAGAACCATGGAGAATAAAACACGAGGAACCAGAACCCCGGAGAATAAAACACGAGGAACCAGAACCCTGGAGAATAAAACACGAGAAACCAGAAACCTGGAGAATAAAACACGAGGAACCAGAACCCTGCAGAATAAAACACGAGGAACCAGAACCCTGCAGAATAAAACACGAGGAACCAGAACCCTGCAGAATAAAACAGGAGGAACCAGAACCCTGGAGAATAAAACAGGGGGAACAAGAAGGTTGGTGTTTATTCTTCATTCAACTTTAATGACTGTTTGTGGTACATTAGGCTTACAAAGCTTTAACCCTCTGCGGTCTGAGGGGGGTTTGGGGCCCTGGAGAAGTTTTGACATGCCCTGCCATTTGTGTTTTTTCCAGTATCTTAAACACTTATTAATGGATAAAGTCTGATTACACTGTAATCAGCACAAACTGGGCTACAATATTATGTGAGCAGCATGAATGTTGTGTTTTTGAGAAAACAACATTTATACGTGTTTAGTGAAAAACTAAAATGTTTTAAGCCACTGACTGAACTAAGTTAGCCTATATGAAACTAACACACAGAACATTTGTCCACAAGACTTTTGAGAACTGGATGTGCTAGAATAGAGTATTTGCTACAAAATTATGGGAATACGTACGTTCCAGGCGGAAAAAAAGTTTAGGTACAAACACAACATGTACACTGCACATGACATGATAACAGTTTGCTATTTAGAGTGTCATGTACAACATAGGTCATGTACAGTGTAGGTCAAAAACACCTAAAAGAAGGTCTAACGTTACCTTTCAGTGCCTCTCCATATTAAACTGGTTAAATATAAATTAATTCAATCTTACATTGCGGTGCATGAAAAGTGTTGATCCGGTATGTTTTCTTTGCGATCATGACGGCCGTAACATGAGGTTTCTCCCGTTTGTTCCTCCATGGCATGGTTAAAGGGGTGGTTCATTGCGATTTCACTTTTTTAACGTTAGTTAGTGTGTAATGTTGCTGTTTGAGCATAACAATATCTGCAAAGTTACGAAGCTGAAAGTTCAATGCAAATGGAGATATCGTCTTTTAAAATTCTGGCAGTTTAGTGCCTACAAAAACGCCTGGTAGGGACTACAAGTTACTTTCCAGGTTCGTGAGGTAACAAACCCAGATAAACCCCGCCCTCGGGAAAAGGCAATGGTTCTTAATACTGTTCCTGGCGTCCCCTTGCTCTGCATCTCTCTCTCTCTCTCTCTCTCTCTCTCTCTCTCTCT